AAGATTGGGTCTTAGCAACAAATTTGGACTCAAGAGAGAGGTTACATGTGTAATCCTCTGTTAAGAGCCAATATTTGATGTGCATTTAGGCAAGAGGGCAGTGCTTTCCTTGGGAAAAAATATGAACATTATGTGTAAGAGGCAGGCGCTCAACCTTTCCCTGTGGACTATATCCAAATCCTTGGTGTAGAAAAAGGTATAAGGACTTGAAGCAAGCTCCCAGCCAAACCCAAATCTCTGAGGTTATGGAGTGTACACATTTGACGTAAGTCCCTTGCTTGACACCTTGCAAGGATATGCAAGTGTTGGAATTTGTTAAGCTTATGTTGTTTGGAAAAATAATGTTCTGGTGGGGTAATATTTATTTTTCCATGCAATCTTGATTTTCATACAGTTGATCCAGTCTAGTCTTGACCAGGACCCCGGCCCCAGGACCAAACTTTTGGAGGCTTCAGTAATACCAATGGTGGATTTTTTGGAAGTGTTTTTATTATTATGATGGAGAATAGTAAATAGAATAGGAAGTTAGTAAAATAAAAGTTGAGTGAAAGATTGGACGCGGGCAAGTGAGCTTGGGAGGGGAAGAAGGAGACCATCACATATAGTCTCTCTTCCTCCGCGGGGTTCCTCCTTGCAATGATGTCTCTTTTACTCAAAGAGGTGATCTTGGATCACCTCAGATTATCCACGTATAGCCGTGGAGTGTGACTAACTATCCTACTTGAGTCAATCACTCAAATCGGGGTTTTCTTCATGGACAAGCTTGACATGTTGTACCTCTTGCAAAGACCCATCCACCTGAAGAAGTCTTACCTCTTGCTACTTCGAGCGATGCTCAGTCCATCGTTACTGTCAGCACTCGAGCTCTTTGTACTGACCAAAGAGCCATAAGTACTACACTTATTTGTAATCTGGGATTGCTTTGAGATAAAACATTCCATTGCTTATGCCTGGTCTAATATGAAGACATATTAAACAGTATAGTGCAAGCTCAGCGGTCATCTCAAAGACTGTTTTAACATGAAAGATATTGACTAGTTTTGTAAAGAAGAAATTCAAATGGTTTCAATAACCACATGATTCCAACAAGCTCTCCGGAATGAGGACATGTTGCACACCGGATGTATTATGCTAGTTAATACTACTCACCTTCGCACCATAGAGGTGAGGTGATGAAAATGAACTAAATTACTTTTAAACTTATACAATCATGTTCTATCACACGTGAGAAGAAGTCACAGGAAACAAATCAATTATCTTCAAGAACAAATTGATTAGAATCTTCTATTGACATTCAAAAGACTAGTGAGACAAGTCTTGAGAAGCTAAATTGAAATTAGCACGTATAGAGAAGACATCTCAATCAAAACTTACGTACTAAGAAGAATACGCCAAGGAAAAGTATCTCCGATGTCTCCCTGAAATTGGAGCAAAAAGAATATAAATAGAGGAGAGTCTCTCCAAGAGATGAAGGAACTCACCTTATCATACTTTAACCAATTCTTTCAGACAATCCTCTGTACCGAAGTCCAGCTGGGTTAGTTACGCATGTATCTAAATCTCAGTTCCACTTTACCCTTTCTTGCTTAAAGTTGAATTGTCGCCTTCATAGTATCTTGAACTATAATCCATGATTTTCTCTACTCCAAGTATTTCATTAGTCCCATCGTATTCACCTACTTTCTGGCTAATAGCTTCGATTATGAAATGTTATTGATTTAAATCTAGAACCTTTCTACGTACCTAAAAGCTACGTGGATCTACTTGGTCACTATCCAGTTCTTGCAACGTAAAGTTGGCAAGATCCCTGTTAGTCTTCGGACGCAGGCTACTCTAGATCTCGTATCTCAGAGGTTATAACCAGGCCTAAAGGTTGACCACCTTACATCTGTTAACTTACAGTGGGCCTCGGAATCATGTTTCTTTGAAACACCGTGAAGAGTTTGTGGCTTTAACCACATTCATTATGATCATCATCCTCACTTGAGGATAAGATACAACGGTATCCCGCTTACCCAGCGGAATACTTAGTCAGGAATCTAACTGAGTGAGAACTAGACCTCATCAGTGCCCTTCAAAGGTTGCCACCCTGACAGTTACGGTCACACATGTGTCTGAGACACCTCAACCTACCCCTACCAAATTGAAGCAACACCCTCCCAAGAAAAGTGGGAAAAAGTTCAAGCTACCAGTTCCAGCCTTGGGTGAACTCGTCACCTTCATCAATCACGGAACGACTTGCAATCCCCAAGGTTATCCTCTTCATTCAAATGGTGAGACAGTGTCTGTCCGCAAGCCTCACAACGACATCACGCACTTTGATCACGTCACCTACACTCACACCCAAAAAACCAAAGGCACCAAGGATGGACCCTGGAAAACCATTTGGTATGCATGTCTCGGGGTCCTCCGCTGTGACAACAACTTTTGTGCATACACGGCACCTCCTCCCACTGCCAAAGGAAAAGCTGCTGAGTACATCAAGGAGTACGTATTTTGCTTGTTCTCACTTTCACCTTGATACGAGCTGACTGTCTTTTGTTCACCTTTTCATCCATCTCTAGGAACCCTGTGTGCCCGGCAGTTGAGTGTAGCGGGACCCATATCTGGACCCAATCTCCCGTCACCGTATGCCAAATTGACATTCAGAAGGACACCGGATGGGGTGTCCTTTGTCATTCCGGTTTCCACGCTCACCCCTGGCCTGCCTTGAAAAAGGCCGATCCCTTGGCAATGTTGGACCTCCCGCAGGAGGTGGTGAAGAACCCAAATGCCGGACCCTTGGTCCTTAAGGTGAGTCTTTCGACTGGAGTTTCTGCAAGTCATGCTCTATCCTGACTTGAGTACCTCGTGATTTTTCCTCGCCATGTCATGCTGTGTAGGTTGGCCAGGCTGGCGCTGGTCAGACAATTACTCCTCCGGTTGTGGATATACATCCCGCGTTTGCTAACGGTGGGCGCTTGGCATACTTACGTCAAAAGGTCTTGGTCAAAAAGGGCCTGATTCCTGAAAAAGAAAGCAAAGGCGGAGGTGACCGCCTCATTATGGACTTGATGCATTGGGGAAAGTACGTATTTCACCAAACAAACTCCCAAGCCTCTCGCTGAAATCAACATTTTGCTGACACATGTCTTTATTTTGAATTTGGTCACGGCCTTTGATTGATATCAACCTCTCTCCTTGGTGCAAACGTGCACATTACCTTCCAAACGGACTGGATGGCTGAACAGCCAGTACGCCGCGACAGCTTGGGTAAAGTGTATTCTGGTGGACTCCTTTCGGATGTCACCTATTGATTCTTTCACCATGGGTACCTTCTTAGGACATCGATGTATAGCAAAATCCTCCACCTTTGGATCCCCATCCAACTCACGTGGATGTGGGGCCTGGAAGAGGCGCACTATAAGGCGCACTTCTCGACTCTCCTCGCGCAGATCAATGCTGCTGATTTGACTTACCACAAGCGGGATCTCCTGGTTCAACAGGTAGTGGACCTTTCCACCACCCGGAGACCTGACTCTCACCAAAAAGTTTGGTCAAATCGCTCGACTCTTTCCTAAAGCAAAGCCTTGGATCGACTGGTGGAACACTGCTGATATTCACAGCATGTTGTTCTGCGCCCGGGACTGCCTCCCCATGGACAATCCTCCTCTCCCAGAAGGTGAGGACCCGCACGACTATCCGGATACCACTAATGGTCAGGAGTCCATGCATTGCCAATATTACATTCTCACGTAAGTTTTGGGGTTATGATTATGCCTTACATTCCATACTGACACTTGTGCTGTTTCTGATCCTAAAGGTCTGGACACTTACAATTATCCAAGGTTTCATTCAGTTGCTACTCTTCGCTGAGTCCCTCAAGAGGGACTTCAACAGTGTGCTTCAAGGCATCTCGGTGAAGTACGGCAACAGTTGGGAATCCGTTGTTGAGACCATGGGTTGGTCAAAAGAACGTACTCGCAGACGCCCCAAAGTCAACAATGGTTGTCCTCCTGATACGACCGAAGCTTTGATTCGCCCCAAGAAAGTGGGCCGGCCCACCGGATCAAGAAATGTCAATTGGGATTCCCATTCTTCCTATCAGTCCTACTTGGCAAGCACCGGACCCGGTAAGCTCAATTGATGTTGGGAAACATCAACCTTGGAGGCTTTGTATCCGGCCTTTTTGCCTCTGTGGATTGAGGGATTGAAGGCAAAGGTAAGGATATCACATCCAAGTTGATACGACATTACTCTTCAAGAATTTCTGCCAAAATGCATTGATCCATGCACTTCAAATCTGTATTAACCCGGGGACTCAAATCAGTTCAAACGGCGGTCCAACTCATTTCTTCTGACTCATTTGTAACCGACGCCTTCTGTTCTGCCGACTTATTCATGGAGTACCTCCTCATGGCTAAACGCAATTGCCCAACATCCGCCGGACGTCTTTTTGCTTACAAGTTAGTACGAGACTATCAATGCACAGCTATCTCCTCACATGAAGAGAACGAACTGTCCGTTAGAGCCACAGTGGCAATCACCAATAACCTCTTTCCCAATGCCAATCTGCAATATTCCGAAGTGGGCAAGCTTATCACACTTTGGAGTACTGAAGGACTCTTCTCCAACAACCTTCGATGCTGCACAACCTGTTGCACAGACCAGGACTTGACTTCGACGGACGCGGATGTATCGCATGATGTTACCGTTGGGAAGCTGAACAAAGGTGACGATATCCCTTGCTTGTACAAACAATGCCGTTTGGATTTCACTGGACAACCGATGAACGTCTACTTCCAGAGGTGTGGCTGGTCTAACCGAAGAAGATTGTATCAGCTTCATGGGGGAGATGGACTGGCCTGCAACTTTGGTTCTCAACGATGTCTCGTACAAAATAGTCTCAAGGGGTTTTTGGGGTTACCATCATTACTGGAGTAAAGTGGTGAGATATGTAGATGGGGTTCGGGGGGTGTGGTTTTATGACGACAGAAAGGACAATGGCCGTGCTCAACTTGTGGGTTGAGACCTCTTGTCAATCTCAGGGGCCCAACTGTCAACCAGTTGGCTCATCTATTCTTGCAAGCCTACGTCAAGCGAACAGAAAATCATCAATCTTGGCATAGCCAAGATCACATCAAAGAATCCAGACGCTCAGGGAGATTTACCTTTTGTTTTGCAACCGGATTTGGACAACGTCAAGGAGATCGAGGAGGATTTGACAGACCTGCCGGTATTGGATCCTCCTTTGGCTACGGTTGCAAGCGGGATGGGCACCAGTCAGCCCTTGTATAATGGCGCCAAGGTTGCTTTTACATCAGCTGGTAAGTTCTGAGTTGGTCTTATGGTGTCTCATTCTGAAACCATCAAGCTGACGGGTGTGACATATTTGGCAGCGTCTCCAGCTGTTGATGAGCTGGAGGCATTGGAAACAACAGATCCTACGGTTGGCTTGCAAGCTGTTTCTCAAAGTGACAAAGCCAAACAGGCATTTATTTGGGCTCAAAAGTGTAGGTCCCTGCCTCTTCATTCCTATTTGGGCTTTATGTCATACTGACATCTTGGTGTTCTCAGGTCCGTTGTCTTCAGCTCCGCCAACTGTTATGAGAAGGGAGGAGGGCGAGGAGGATAATGATCCTGTGCCAGTGTCCCTGCCCAAAGAACCAAAAGCCAATGTCAGGGTGGCTACTATATGAGAAGGTAAGTTGTCTAGTAAGACTTACTTTCTAGTCCTGACAAATGATCTTCCTGGGTACGTAAGATCAGATAACTAATTAACTAATTGGTTATTCTATATTTGTACTAAAAGATAGTAGCAGATATTAGTTAAATCACGCTTAGGGTGATGAGAAGGTAAAAATATAACTAACTATTCCAAGGCCTACTGTAGGATTACAGAAGAAGTTGGTCGGGCTTTAGGCCTGGTGTTTTCTCTGAGATACGAGTACCTAAGAGTAGCCTGAGTTGAACCTCAGGGATCTCGTCAGCGATGAGCTGCGAAACCTAATGGATAATGACCAAGGGAGTTACTTACCGGTAGAGGGTAAGCAACAGGAGTTTATCAAGGAAGGTGACTTGATAAGGAACTAAGGTTTTCTCGAGTTTCTAACAGAGCCAGAAATACAGAGTACGATGGGACGGTGATAGAACTTTAGCCGATAAACAATAGAAGGATGTTTTAAAGTAAGATTGATTTTAAAGAAAGAAAGGGATGACGCTTCTTCGATAACAAGTCTCTAAGGAATGGAACTAAACGGTGGATGTCGAGTTGGATTCTTTCAAGAACTAGTAAGTAATTTTAGTAGGTCTAAAATGTTGGGTGCTGAAGGAGGTGAGGTCTTTTCTTCTTCGTCAGAAGAGCCTCTTATTTATACTGGCTGAAAACTTAGGAATGACTCAAATGATTTAGTAGGGTTAACGAATGGTGTCATCTCTGCTTGAGACACATTCCTCATTGGTACGGGGTTTTCGGACGTTTATGGATGTGATTATAGGGAGTTAAGGGTATAGGTTGTTTCAACAAGTCTTTCTCAGTTGATGCCAAGGTGGTTTCATTCTGATTCAGATATCTATAACTTGGCGATCGTTAAGGACAATTCTTTGAGTCCCTTTTCGGTTTAGTTTTGGTAGTGATGTGTTTCCAGGGTTCTTTGTAAGTAATATCCTTTTATTGTAAAGGGCTTAGTGTGATTCTGATTTTGAAACTAGGCATAAATTGATGAATATTGATTCTATTCGTCTTTTGAAACATAGCTTGTGATCACTTCTAGAAATGAGGAATATGGTATCCTCATTGTTGTCTTTGAAACTAGACACAAGTTGTGAGGGTTTTTATTTTATGTAATAACAGATAGAACACTGCTTCCGGATAATGGAATTCAGAGTACCACCGCGGGCTTCGGGAACACAAGCAATCCATTATTCGTAAGGTTGTTTACAAGTCAGGTGTATTTGGGAAATACTAGGGACTATGTCTGTATAAGTAAGAGGGAGTTCTTTCTCCCTTGATCTTATTCTTAGGACTGTCCTACCTTTCACATAGAAGTACCTACCCTGCATAAGGGCCTCAGCATCCTACATGTTTTGTGGTTTGGGGTGGGGCCCAAAGGTAGAAGAAAGGTATGGGAGTTGGTTCCAGCCAACTCCCTTCTTTTACCCTCTGGACGAGGACAGCGCCTGAGAAGAAGACTTCTCAACCCCATCACTCGCGGGAGGTATGAGCCGTGAGCCTGAGAAGTCAAAACTCCCCAAACCTCTCCTCACGTGAGTATTTGTCACGATGAGTCGCTCAGCTCCCTTTGACCCCTTTCCCACAGGCGGTTTTAGCCTTCTGTTCTGTTAGACAGGTCTTTTGGATCTCTCAATCTTTCCTCTGGTACAGTTCAGTTTTGCGTTCTGCAGCCACTTTGTAATGCATTACGTAATCTGTTTAGAGTTGGCTGTTAAACTTTCTCCCGATCTCTTTTTAAAGTTTGAATACATGTGTGAACAATCTTCTAAATGATCTACGTGTATGATTTCCTATTGTTTTCGTACCTCTTTCTCCTCTTCCTGTCAGATCGGTGGAAGTTTCAGTTCATTCAGCAGTCTCACTGTTTCTCTCAATTCTTTTTCGTCGAATTTCCTAAGATAGATTTTGTAAGCATCCGATTCCCACCTGCCACTTTCTTTCACCTCCTGTCTTGTTGCCCCAAGGTTCCATCTGAGTGAAGCTCCACCGATCCGGAAGGAGTGGCCGTAGAGGAGTTTTTTCTTCGGATGCCTGTGTTTGTTCAGCGTCTTACGGTATCTCTCAATTAGGCCTGATTTCCTGAAGACTAAACCCTTTCCTTCTCCTCGGTTCATGGCAAAGATTTGGTCGGTTGGTTGACGGGGTCTCAGGTCGTAAAGCATTTGTAGGGCTCGTACCGGGTCTAGGCAGGATTTTTGGTCTTGTAGGTGTATGTACTGGACCTCGCCTGGTTTAGCAGTTTTTGCTTCCAACAAAGCTATTCTGACATACGATCCATCTGGCCCCCATTCTACGTCCTCCCAGGTCGGAAGTAACTTCTTGGGGTCTTCTGACACGAGCTCTCCGAGTCTTGCAGTACCCCAGAATGCGACCAACGCTACGATCGCTGCCACCATGTCTTGTTCGTTTGACATGTCTCCTTCGTTGGCGAGGAGGACTAGGTCTGAGATTAGGATCGGGGGCCGCTTCTTCTCGATCTCCCTGTGACGTGCCTCTACGATCTTTGTTGCCTTGATGAGGCGTTTGATCGATGGTTCAGCCTTGTGTGGGAATTCTTCATTGTGGAAGATATGCCAGGCTTTGACTCCTGCCAGGTACATTTTTATCGTTGAGGATTCACTGACTCGTCGTTCTTTGCTAATTCTTCTCCTTTCCTTGATAGCCAGACAACAAATTGCAAGATTAGATCAGATGAGATGGGTAACAGGTTCGTTGGCTCGATTTTCTTCACGGTGGCGAATCGTCTGAGTTTCACGACTGCTGAGTTATAGTGCTTTAAGGTGCCTTCCATCCATGCTCCTCTTAGGAAGTGCTTCTGTACTTCATCCACTTTTGAGCTATCTACTCCCGCCGCGTCGCTTTTGAAGGATCCGAACGGCTTTGTCGCTTTACGGAGTCTCTCATCTGATTTGCCTTCCACCGTTTCCGGTTTTGTTTTCGGGTCCGTTTTCTTTCTAGGCATTGACACCTGGACTAGATGGGATTGGGATGGAGGTCTGCGAGAGGAGGTCTTTCAGATCTTGGGGGATCTCGATAGTGACTTCGTCGCTCCACACTCTCCCTTCGAAGATTCCCCTCGACAGATCGTCGGCTAGGTTATTCTTCGATGTGACACGTCGCTGCTTTATGTTACAGCCTAGTCTGGTCAGTAGTCTTTGTATTTCTTTCCATTCATTGTTAACTCGCTCATCCTTTGACTTCCTGTTTTTTATCGCGTACTCTGTAGTGGTGTTGTCTGTTTCCACCCAGAAGGTTCTGCCCCTGATGGGTATCACTTTTTCTAGTACTAACAGGCCAAGGCGGATGGTTACCGTTTCCGCCCACGCGATGTTTTGTTTTCCTTTTGTGAGACCCTTGGTCAACCATTCTTCATCCCATTCGAAACACGCCCAGTGGGCTCCTATCAAGACCCTGATCCTAGGTTTACAGAGCTACGTGAGTTTCAATGATTAAGTGATTTGTCTTCTATCCACTCACCCGAAGTTGGACGAAGCGTCACCTACCCATCCCACTTCCTCTGGGGTTGGGTCTGTAACTAATCTACATGCTTCGAACGTTTCGAGACAGATCTTCCATTCTGTCAGGTCCTCTAACACATCTTCTGGGGCGTATCGTTTTACGTCCAGGTTGTGCCAGGTCTTGAGCCACCTATAAATGGAGCAGAGGAACGCTGCCATGTGTGGCACTATGCATACTGTGTGACTTAGTCTACCTACAAATCGTTCCACTTGGTTGAATTTCCATTGGTTCGTTGTTAGTAAGTACTCTTTCACTTGTGACAGTCGCTCTGATAACTTCTCTTGTGGGAGTCTGACGGTATGGTCTTCGCCATTCCAGATAAATCCGAGGAATTTTTGTTCGATCGAGAAATCATGGTTCTTTGCTCGGTTCGTTTTTACTCCAAGACCGTTGGATAGGTGGGTCACTTCTTCCAGTGTTACTGTGTCCCCCGGTCGTTTGAATATCAAGTTATCATCGACCCATCTGAAAATCATGGGGATGCGTAACATTTTGATCATTATTGTTTTCCAGGTTTCCGCCGGTGCTCCAAATACCCCACAACTTGCGACACCCCCGAAACCGACCGCTAGGTCGATCCATATGCGGCCTTCGAAGTCTTTGATGCATAAGTATCGTCTCTGTGATGGGTGTGTAAGGAGTTGGCGGTAAGCCTTCTCCCAGTCGAATAGAGCCATCAGCCAAATTCCTGGGTTTGACTTGAAGAACTTTGCCACTTTTTTGAAGTTGTCCCAGTTCGTACTGTAGTTCTTCTTGTCTACAAACGAGTTTACCGACGGGACTAATTCTGGTTCTTCTCTTTCCGGTCTCGTCAATTTCTTCCGACCCCTCCTTGGTTTCTTCTTTTTTGGATGGGATAGATCGTTGATCATCCTGACCGAGCCGTCTCCGTTGATGGAGCTCCCCATCGGATTGGTTCTGAAGAAACCGTATTTTTTGAAGACTTGCTCGTGAGTGAAAGGCCCAATGATTCTGCCCGCTCTGGCTTCTTTTTCTAGCGTGTTGATGATCTGATCTTTTACGTAGAGTGCGGATCCGTGGTTGTCAGGTGTGTACCACCTTAACCCTTCAATCTTGTGTTGAGGGATACCCAAGCAGAAACCGTCTTTGAAGCCTCCTATGATGTATGGGATGTCATTGTCTAAACCTGCTTCTTTCATCAAGATTTCCCATTCTGGGATGTTCATGTCTGACTTTACTGGAGCGGGCCAGGTGGTGGCTACTTTGACTTTGTAAGTCTTCCTTTTGTTTAGGGGCAAGATTTCCGCCGACACTTCCTCTTCTGATTCTTCGGGCGACCCGTCTGACTTGTCTGAATCTGAGCTACGTGGATTATTATCCTGGTGTGTGTGTTCACCAGCTCCTGTTGTTGGAGGGGCTGC